AATTAATCTCACGATCAGTGTTGAAATAAAGTAAAAATTGGAGTGCATAAAATACAGAAGTATGGCCGCAACTTCCGTTGTTGTGGTACGGGAGGGGAATTATAACCAATAGACGAATGAATCGAATTCCTTCGAACGATCTTGGCCCTGGAGTGAGTGCCGCCCACAGGAGTTCAGTATCATCTTCAGCTATCCACCATATCGCCTCTGAAGGGTGAAACTTCTATTCCTGAATGGACGGTCGCACGAGTTACAGAGCCCATGCCTTTGGTACATGATCCAGAGCCATTACAGGCAAACGCTGGGATTAACTGGTGCTAGGAGCGCTTCGCAGTGATAGCTTAGCTGCGGAACGACCTGAAAGTGGAAGGAAAGCAAGAGAATCTTTGGGAACGCTGAAATTAAGGCCTTAACCTTCAAGTAAGGTCGGATGTGGTACGATGGCGAGACAGGGCGGTCAAAGAAGACAAAATACGCGAGAGAGCACGTCGTTTGAGAGAGCACGCTGATCTCTACATCAATGCACGCTGATCTCACCATCTCTCGCGGTGGGTGGGAAGCGTTGAACGGGGTCGATGGTTGCAGGCCCGTAAGGATTAGCGCCCTAACCGCGCAATTTTCGCGACGAAGCTGGAGTGATCTAGGTAGGTACGGACCTTACAATTTCCCTCGCGGTATCCTTCCTACTAGTCGGGCTATTCCCAGGGTTTGCCTTTAATTAGTACTTTCCTGAACCAATCCTCTTCCAGCAGCTACCGAAAGGACATCGCTGGGCTACATCTCGACTTCCTTTGAATCCTTTCCATTTATCTCGGAAACCGTGAACATCTGGCACAATGGCTCAGAATACTATCTACTTTTTTCTCTTCTCACAGGCGATGATGAAGCGAATGGGAAAAGACGCCACATCCAGTCAAACAAGGGAGAATCGCCTCCAACCAGGTCGACTAGGCCGTTTTTGTTACTTAAATCGTTCAGGCTTGCCTTGGGGCATGAATACACTGAGCTGAACAATTTCCATACGATTCTGCGATTCAGAGTAGAATAAGGCTGCTTGGCGCATCCCAAATAAAATACCACGTCATAACAAGAAGGTTGGTAAAGCGAACAATTTCTCCTTCGGACTGATTCCGTGGATGTAACCTGGACAGAAAATCACAATGAGAACCGTGAGATCAATCCAGCAATGAGAAAATCACGTGGAAAAACTAAACATAACATAGCAAAATTTATTGAGACAAATAGCTAACATAATTAGCGAACATTTTGAGAGTAGTGCATTCATAACCTGATATCATTAACAAAGCTCACTGATCAATTGTCGTGTTTAACCAGCCATGGCATACCCTGCCGGAGCTGGCAGAGGAGCAGGAGCCGCGTACACGGGTGCTGGTGCTGGTGGTGGAGGAGCCGCGTACACAGGGGGTGGAGGTGGTGCTGGAGCTGCTATGTACATAGGTACTGGAGCCGGTGCAGGAGCCGGGGCTGCACAGGCTGGTGCCACTGGTTCACAGGCAGGCGGTGGAGGAGGTGGTGGCCTTAAAGGAAATGATGACGGTATCAGCAACTTTCAAATCCGAGATTATCAACTTAATCGCCTAAATTAAATAAAATTTTGAGGAAAACCTACGGCGCACAACAGCATCCGCATCCACCTCCAAACAGTCCCCACAGAATAGCTTCTGAGTTGGCTACCAGAGCGAGGAGAATCAAACAGGGAAGCATTTGGGATGCGCAGAGGTCTCGCTCAGACCCTTTTTATAGGAACAAGACCAGTTGTTGCTTCACACTGCCACTATTCCGCACTTGCACGTGGTTTTTTGCTTAGGGGAAACACTGATGTGTCCATTATAAGGAAATCTCGTCGTTACCTGATCCCCAAAAGGAATTGCTGTTCGTGGTTTGAATGGTAGCGAGAAGGTACCCACACGGTAGGACTTCGTTACTGCCTTCAACTGCCCCCGGGCTTGAATAAGAAATCTGAAGGAGTGAAATAGGATGAGTACGCAGCCCAAATAGTGATGCGCCGATGGATCATGTACACTGCCGTCACTACAGAAGCGTGGTGATACTGAGAAAGTAACTAGCTTTTACAACAGGTATACTCGTCGGAGGCAACACGAGGTGCCAGCCCAGTGTGACAAGTCATGCTATTCTTAGCGATGAGTGTATAACACCGCGTCCAACGACCAAGTAATAAAGGGGCTGATTGAGTCTGCCGCGATGTTGACAAGGAATTTGAGCCGGGACTAAAGCCTGGAAAAGTCTTCGCGGTAATCCTCATATCTTCGGAAGCGTTCCACTTAGGCTTTCCTTCTCTGATAGCATTACGCTGCTTGTCATTGCGTGGGTGGCGTTAGGAGGCTGTTGCTCGAAGGCACTTTTCACGATGACATAAAAAGTTAGCTGTGAATTAGCAGAAACTTTAGGCTCCCCCTTCTTAAGTTAGGTTTCCCACTCCTATTTTTCTTCCTACAGGTGCTAGAAATGCCGCAGCTCCTCATTTCGTAGAGCCGTGGCATCAGTGTTTATTTTGATGCTTTGCTCCACGAATAAACTTTATAACGGAAGCTTTCCTATTAAGTCGCCTTCCGCAAAGTCTCAAACGTGGCTCAAGGTTGAAAAGTTGTCCTTTGAACCGACTAACTTCTCACCCTAGCCTTTAAGAGACGCTTCCATGAAGGCTTTTGAAATCGTGCTCTTGCTTTTTCCAAGCGGGTTTCCGGACGATATGGGAAGTATGCTTAAAACGTAGAACTGCGCTCAATTTTTTTTCAGAGCAGTCCTCCGAACGCCAAAAATGGGGTGAGTGGGTGATCAATAGCTCGATTCTCCGCGTTGGCAAAGTTTTGCATTGCCGATTGGAGCTGGCATATCGCAAAATGGTCCCGCCCCAAGAAAAGAATGCCTTCTTCACGATCACAACCATCAATAACCCATATAAGTAGGGTTTTACCAAGAATGGTGTCAAAGTGGTGTGGCGCTAAGACTGTTACTTTTTTTCCAGAGGGCCGCTCAGGAAAGATGGATCACGGCCCTGAGCTTCATGCATGCGCCCCTACACCATTCCCAAAAAGCAGGGCACGACCTGAAAAACCTTCCCAGTCCGCTGAACCAACCGTAGCCTCGAACTGGAGATGAACTTTCTTCGCCAAGCACCGGAAGTGCGGAGCAACGCCACTCGTCGGTAGTTATGGTGCGAAAAGGCTTCATTGGCACAAAAACACATCAAAATCCAGAAAAACCTGCGCAATTCGCTACGGATTGCAGAAAAAGTGCCTGGACAAGGCAGCAAACAAGCTTTGGGAAAGCTGCAAAAAAATGTTCTGCGCTCTAACTCCATTGACGGGGAAACAAGCCAAATGTGAGGATTTTGAATGGATTTTTCCGATATCCTCAGCACCACTGGACTTATGAGCCTTTTAATCTCATTTAGAACAACATTTATTATAGCTGTCAGATGATAATGCTTTTCGAGAATGCCGAGATAGAGGAAAACTTCCGCTTCAGCTGAGATTCGTGCCGCTCGGGCAGAAGTTTTGCTCAGAACTCAGCATTGTCCTAAAACTTTCGCAACGCAAACTGAGGTGTATAACAGCAGGTATGCAATAAAGCTAATGCTTTTCCCAAACCCTGAATCGTTCCTTCTTATTAATGGAACCCTCTGCCAAGATAAATTCCCAATTTTCAAAAACACTCAATACAGTAGCGGTCAAAAGTGTTCACCGAAACGATTTTTAGTGCATTATTTTTTCGCTCCATCAATGCCCTCAAAAATTGATATGCTACAGTTTTAAAGCTTTATATTCTCAAGTCATAGAAATCAGAATTCTGAAAGGGAAAATTTTTTCCGAGGCCATCACTGATTTTTTCCTGCATAAAAAAAAACGAGAAGCATGGGAAAGCATTTGTTTATTTTGTATTATTTTATTTTATTATTTATTTATTTCATTTGTTTATTTATTTATTTATTTATTTATTCGGCGCACACTTTTGACCGCTACTGGATTTAGGATCCCTACATTGTGGACTAACATTTCATTTTGTTGTTATAGGTGAGGGCGGAACTTTTGCTGGCCTATTCTCTGCGCAATGGCTCTCAGCAATAAAAAGGTGCGAAAACTAAACACATGCCGGTTTTATGACGGAATTCCTTCCGGCCCGGTCTTGCGGACTCCGCCTCAAACAGTGGGAGGGTATAATTCGCGTTCTGCTTCGAGGATCGCTCAACTGCAAAAGTTGCCAGCGATTCAGTGGATAGTTCTAAAGGGGAATGTTGTAGGGCCGCTCGGCTTGCCGAAGAAACGCTCTGCTACGGCTTTTGCAGCTGCTGTTCTCTACTGATACCTAAAGTTCTAACTGGGAAATAGAAAAAACAATGGGATTTGCTTAAAAATTCATGCCGTTTAATTGTTTTTCGCCCCCTTTCTTCAGAGCATGGACGTTTTAGGATTCGTAAATAAGGCGAGTTTTGAAAAGGGAAAGTAAACGAAGAAGGAAAAGATGAAAACCTTCTTCGGTTTTGGTAACTCTGAGCCGGGGTTACGCTTTTTTTTGCGACCGCCTAGTTGCGTCTGCAATACGCAGCGGAAAGTTGAGTTACTCTTACCAACTCATTATAACCGTTTATTTCATTCTCTTGTAAAATTTCAAAATATATACACACAAGAATTGATCTATAACTATAACTATGAGGTTATTTTCCAGCGACAGGGTAACCATCTCCGGCCATTGGAGCGGCAGGCATTTGGTAGCCGGCAGAAGGAGCGGAGCAGCTGCAGGACCTTGGTAGGTTATATATTGCAGGGGGTCAGCAAACTCGATAGCCTCCATGGGAGTGAGTGGTGGAGGAGGGTTAACAGGAGGCAGCTGGGCGCAGCAGGTGCACAGACCGGTGCTGGTAGCGGTGGCGGTGGCGGTGGTGGGAGGTGGCGGAGGAGGTGGTGCAGCAGGTCCACAGGCTGGCTTTGGACAGCATCCACCTCCTCCGAGTCCTCCGAAAAGCCCTGACAGACTTGGAAGACTCAATGGAGGCAGTAGTGGCAGCGACAAGCCTCTGAAAATAATCGTGTAGATGTTAAGATCAGGTCAACCGGAAGAGCAACTAAGCACTTACGAACAACAACATGATGAAGGGAATAGGAAGGGACGAGCGGAATGGGTTAAGGAGGCCAGTATCAAAAATATCAGCATATTCAAAATCAATGCCGGTAAGCGTGCCAGTCACCTTTTATATGGCAAGGACGAGAGAGTTGCCCTTTGTAAGCCCTCCTACTTGGTTTTCAACGAGGATACGATTTTTTCTTGCCATTCCACTGCTGATTCGCTTCAAAAAACAGTATCAGCACAAGGTCATACCGCAATGGTTCGGTGACGTTGCAATCCTGGCGCGATTCTGCGTGCCGCGACGAAAAATTGCGCACTTTTGGACATTGCTACTCATATCAATCTCGATACGAAATCTCTTTGTTACGCTTGCGCAACCTTGGCATAAACGCAGAGATAAACTTCCGTCGAACGTTAAAGAGCAGACTTCAAGGACATGTCTCGGTCAACGCGGTGCCGGTAGGGCACAGACCGTCAATTTTGTCGGGAAAATACAGTAGATCGTCCAAATTGTTCACCAAAATGGTTTTTCTTTGTGCCGCCATGTACGGTTTTCCATAAACCTTGTCAAGGAGTAAATGTTAGTTTCCTTCGTTTAGCACCTCACGAGGTTACCGCTGGTCTTTATTGACTGACCTTCCAACGGGATCAACTCTACGGAGCCTTAGAAGGATCGAAGAGATCAATGAAAAGTGCTAATGCCTCTCTACCCTACTGGACTTCAATTAGGCGTTTCCAAAAGTTCTGTCGTTTTTCTGACACTCCACTTTTGGATGCTTCTATTTTCCTTGAAATCTAGAAAAACTGCAATCGGTATGATGCCATTTTGAAGAGCTTTTCCTGCTCTATCCAATGCTTAGCTTAGCTTTGTCCTAAAACATTTTCTTATAGCTTTTTCAAAGCTTTGAATGCGGTATACTCGATGAGCAAGTTGGCATGACTTTCTTTTTCTAGCTTTAAATAGACCTGAAAGTAGCGGGAACAGTTCAAGATATTAACGATGCACTTGGCCTAGATTCGCAATAAATGTGCTCAGAAGCAGTAGTTCGAAAAGTTATTGTAACGAAAGCGAGAGCCTTGGGTATGATACTAGTGGTCGTCAGATATCGGACGTTGCCACCGATTAGCCAAAAGTTCTGATTGAGGCACTCGTGCGTAAGACCATAGAGGAGGTTCTGCCCAACCTGGGCGTATATGGTTTGTAGAGCCAAGCTATACGGAAGTAGCTGGAAAGTCCAAAAAATTTGATAGGGGCGTGCCGCGACAAATCACCAATTTGAAGGGTCGTCCATCAAATTGTAGCTTGTTTTATGTGATGAAAGCGACTCGTTTTTCTACAGATTTGCGACGTACAATGAAGAAGGATTCTTCTCTACAGTCCACGAAGCTTTGCTGAATAGCTCGACGGCGATAGCTCTACAAACTGTGCAAAACTTAAACTGTGCTGAAGGAGGGTTATGGCAACTTTCATAAGGTCAGACGGCTGGCCTGGTTCTTCCGCATAACCAGGAACTGTTACAGTGGAAAAGCAGTCTTAACATTACGCCAAAAATCACCAAAAACTCCAAGACATGTGTCCAGCATTAATTATTTAAAGCAAGTCTTAGAGACAACACTAG